CACCCCCTCGCTGTCCCCATCCTGTCCCCACCGTGTCGCTGCCCACCTGGAGGCGCAGCGTCGGCCGCGCAGCCGCAGGACAGGCGAGGCAGCGCGTTCCGTTGCGGATGCCCATGATGACGGGCTGCAGCTCGTGCTTGAAGAAGCGGTTGGGCACCCAGAACACTTTCTCTATGGGGGCACGTGGGGGGGGCGCGCACCCCCCCACCGTCAGCCCTCGCTGCCGGCCGACCCCAGGTGCCCCCCCCCCCCCGTCCCTTAAAGGGGCCGCTCACCCTCCAGCGCAGCGTTGGCGCCCTGCAGGTGCCCGGCCACCAGCTGGTCATCGCGCAGGTACAGCGACTGCTGGTTCGTGTCCCATATCCTACGGACGGACGGACGGACGGACGGACGGACGGGGGTCGCGGTGACCCACAGCCCCCCCCCCCCCCCCCCCCCCCCCCCCCCCCCCCCATTTTTCACCTGTATTTGAAGACCTTGGTTTGCGGCGCGGGCGCGCGGCACGGCACCGATCCCGCAGCCTCTGCGAGGAGGAGGAGGGCGAAGCTGAGCGCCATGGGGCGGTGCGGGGCGCGCTGCGGGCTTTGGGGGCCCTTTAAACCCCCCCCCCCCCCCCCGTGACTCCCATCCCGCCGCTTCCACTTCCCCTCCCGCTGCCCCCGGCTCACCACCCATGAGATGCCCCACTGGAAGCCACCCGCCCCGGAGCTTTGGGAAGGACGGAGGAAGGAAGGACGCGGAGTGTTGCCACACCGCCCGCACGTCCCGCCCCTGGGTGCCGCCATCGCGGGGACGGCGCGGGGCTGGGGCGAAAGGGAAGGAGCGAGGATCGAACTCGCCAACTCGGCGTTGAGAACGCGGCGCTCTGCTCGCCGCGCCACCTGGCGGCGTTCGTTGGCGGCGGCCGCGCATGCGCGATAGCAGCGGGCGCGTCGTGGGGAGCGGTGAGTGGAGGCGGCGAGGCGCGCATGCGCGGTGAGCGCGGAGTGCGGCAGGCGCATGCGCACCGCGCGCGAGAGCGGAGCGGCGCACGCGCAGTGGGGAAGGGGGCGAGCTGAGGCGCATGCGCAGTGGGCGGGCGGCGGGGGCCATGGCGGGCGGCTCCGCGCTGCGGGCGGCCTTGGGGGGGCTGATGGTGATGGCGTTGGGCGTCCGTGGGCTTTATTTCCACATCGGGGAGACAGAGAAACGTTGCTT